TTTGCGAACGTTTCTTCTTAAACAACTGCAATTTTCATCAAACCATTTTTTTCATTCGTATAAAATTGCAAAGTTACAAGCTGAGATCTCGCGAAGATTGAGTGTTGCAATTGATCGCTCTTTACCTGCTTTGTGTTTTTCACTTTAAAACTCAGTGTTCTTCTTCTCATAATAGATGCAACAAGCGCAAACGTCTGTATACTTGTTCGCGATACAACACAAATTATTACGAGACCGAGCGTTACTATAATCAGACACGCACACTGATTGCTCCGAGAGCTTCTGTAGATAATGCATCGAAGTCCTATGTAGCTCAAGTCTTAATTAGGAAAACGGTTCAATCGCTAAGTAAGAAATGATAGAAATACTTAAGAGAGTGCACGAACATGTGCACTTCTGGGGGGCGAAAAATGACATCTTAGAAGATAATTCGGACGAGAGGAGCACCAGCAGCGAAGACTATATATTGGATTCAGACGACGAGCAAAAGGTGATTAAGGACCGACGCGACGTTTCAGAGATTTGTAATTTAATGAATGCTTGTTCTTAAGAACGTACATCTTTCAGCTTCTTTACTTAGAGATCAGACTGCCGAACGTCCATATCGAAGATCCGAATGAGCTCTAGTCAGCGTTATCCGAAGCAGAAAAACAAGAATTTGAGGCACTGATAGAAATAAAGAGGTGGGAATGTTGATACCCAAGTTAGTACCATGGAAGACTGCCGTTTTAAAACATAATTATTTCAGCTCGTTGAGGAGAACACTAAAAAGATTTATAGCAATTTTTAAAAAATCCTGTTTTGATAAACGTACCGTTATTTAACGAAATGCAGGCAGGTAATGATAAGTTTATATACTTATTATAGTATAATTAAATTGTACAACTAAATGTTATTGTTTGCGTTTAGAAAGCGTTCTCTTGCGTACACTTTAACGTGACGCGAATGTGATATACGCTTTCGCGTATACCGCTCTCTACTATACGTTGGAGATTATTTGAACTGTGCCGAGGAGGCTGCCCATTTCTCTATCTGTAAAAATATGAGGGATAATAAGGTCTGCAGAGATGCGGACTCGGCAATTAAATCTGTAATGAAAACATAAAAAGCGTTAGCAGCTTGTACACCTATATATCAATATAAATGCAACCTATATAATATTATAATATATTATTATTAAATATGTATACTTAGGTTGATTGGTTGGCACAAGACGAAAAACTTTAACGGCGTTAAAGCAAGCCGGCGTTTCCATTTTGCAAAGATCGGGCTCCGAAATGAAAACCGTTTATACGTTTTCGGCACTCTCCGAGCTCCACCGATTGCTGGCAGCAGCGAAGAAAGAAATATTAACCTGCAAGAGCGACAATTAAAAATTCACAAAGAGATTTTCGTAGAGACATAGCAAGACGTCGCAAGCTTGTCGAGAAAAAGTATACTTTTGTACTTGAAAAAGCTAGAATATTATTTATTATAGGTAAAAAGCGCCGGGGCACGAGTCTTGTAAATGCAAAGTTTCGTTATTTATTGATATGCTGTATGTACATTGTGCTGTCATTTATTAAAATAAAAAAATATTCTATTAATATGTCATTTAGATCCGAATTAATTATTCATGTTTAATTCTCTTAATTGAATGTTCTATATTATCATTGCTTTATGCCGATTCGTTCCCTTCGACATTTCCCTCGATTTTGTCCCATTCCGCAGCAGCCTCTAGAACGAGGGATGTTAATTCCTTAATTTCCTTGTTTTGCATGGTATCGTTCTTGCTCAATTCTTTCAAAAGTTCCATTATGTCTGTTTTCATGAGTTTTGCAACGACGTCTTTCGTACTTTTCATCATATTTAACGCAATTTCGATACCCTTACGTTGTAAGTTACTGTCTGGATTATTGAGTGAAAGGTGTAGGAATGTCCGCCATATATATCCCAGCTGAGTAATTTTTTGCAAGTTTTTTTGCTGGCTGCCGTTAACGTTGCTACCGCTTCAACTGCTGCCTTCTTTGTACATTCATCTTTGCTGCCTACCACAAACCAAGTCATAAGATCCTTAAGTTGATAAGATCTCTGCTCAACATACTGAATAGCAACTTCACGGCTTAATACCAAATTGTTTATGAGTTATGCATACGCGCAGTTCAACATGTTGTAATTATATCGCTCATATAGTTGTTGAAATTTTCAAATCCCGAGTCGTTGAATATATGTAGTCGCATACTATTGTCGACACTAGCTAGATTGCACAAAGCTGTTAGAGCCTCTCATCTCTCATTGACGATTTATTCGCAAACGGTTGAATAACGTAATATCTTTCAAATTTACTCAACTTGCACAATCCCAAAAACGCTAGAATCCGAATTATATCGTTATTAGATTTATCCAGCTTCTGCAATATATTTACACCTTTATCTATGAACTCGTTGAACTTATTATATTTAGTTGCAGCGGCAATGACACATTCTCAAACCACTTTCTGTTGCAATACGTCATCCGTTTCCGTCATAGCAAAGATCTTCTCAACCATCTCTTTTTTGAAAATAATTGCGTCTGCAACTTTAAACGAGCCGAATATCAGGGTTATTATCGCAACTACTCCACTCACCTGTAAGACAATCGATGATAACAATTTGTAAATTTGTACATTTTATGAAACAATAATTAATTTAAAAAATATCAATAGGTAGTTTTATTTAATTTTGATGAATAATAGGAGAAATAATATGCTTTAGAAAATACGAAATAATAACGAAAAATGGCAAAGTCGTATTCTTCAGTAAATTTTGATTAAACTCTGTTATAACTGTATTTTAATACGTAAGTTACAGAATATACAATATTGACAATTGAGAAAAAAATCTTTTTTGACATTTTTGTTTTAAAAATATAAAGTTTAAATTTCTCAAGCATGCTATGGTTAAAGAGATAATGGATTCTTTATTTTAAAACGATTTAAATTCAAACGACGAACAAAACGTAATTAAGGACTGACGTGTTAGAAATTTGTGACTTGATTAATGCTCGATCGTTCTTACAAATGTATATCTTTCAGCTTCTTGACTTGGAAACCAGATTGCTGAACGTCAATTTCGAAGATCCGAATAAACTTTAGTCAGCGTTATCGTCGCAAAAATGCGCCGGATTAGTTACTGCGAAATTTTGCGATTAACTCCTAATTATTACAAGACAGAAACCATACTTTTTTTCTAAGAATCATAAATAAATATAAGATCGTACACCTCAATGTTTTGAACTTTACATACACATATATGTAATGTAACAACAAAACATTCATTTCTTTTAGATCCAAATATGAACTACTTATCAGGTTTTATTAAAATAGAAATAAATGTTTTATTTATTTATTATGTAACGAATAATATATTGGTAGAAAGATAAAGGTAACGATTATAGTACAAAATATAATAGAATAATAATGCAAAAAATTTATCGCCTTTGAAAAAATTCCGCCTCCGCTAATTCTTTGTCTTATTCTGCCCTGTGAACGAGATGCAGCAGCTCTACTTGCATTTGCCTTCTTCGAAGATAGCTCAACTTACGCAGGATATCTCCCATCTGCTCCAGGAAATTGTCCACTGCATCCTTCTTTGGCGCATTTTCGCGAAGTAACTGCTGCAATATGTTGTTATGCAGTGCCTGCACATTGGGGTCGTACTGTCTTCCTGTAACACAAAAAATTCCATTTAATGCATTCAAAGTAATGAATTTTCCTACATTTTCATACATTGTTAAACAAAACTAATTGTCCATAAAAAAGTAACACAATTATAATAAAAACATAAATAAAATATTAAAAAATAGTATAAAATATATAAAAAAATGCACAATAAAAAGATTAATTTCAGACTATTAAAATACTGCGAAAAATTTTTATGAAAAATCAGCACAATATAACAATTTATTAAGAGTTATGAAAAATATAAAGATGTATCAATTAATTATGAAAATCTATGAGACGTGTGTCGATTATCGATTAATCAAAATTAGCTCACTTTTTTTTTCTCGTGGTCTACAATCGGCCGAACTTCCTACTCTTTCAGGATTGTCTGGCGTGCTACAAGTTCTTGAAGAAGACACATTACATTCCTCGAATTCGGAAAGGTTTTGATACCCAAGTTAATGCCGCTGATGGACATGCCGGAAAGAAAATAATTTTAGTTCGTTGAGAAGAGGACCTAAGAAGATTTAAAGCAATTTATAAAACATCCTGCTTTGATAGACGTACCGTTATTTAACAAATTGCAGGTTGGTGATAATAAATTAATATGCTCAAAATGGTATAATTTTAATTGTGCAACTAAACTTATTATTTGCGTTTAGGAACTTATTATTTGCGTCTCTTTACGTACCCTATAACGTAATATACGCGCTTACATCATAAAGATCATTCTTTACTAAATTGGATATTATTTGAAATGTATCCAGGAGACTGCCCGTGTTTTTGTGACTATCTGTGAGAACATGAGAAACAATGAAATTTTCAAAGATGCGGACGCGGCAATAGAATCCGTTATAGAATACGTAAAAAGTGAGTAGCCTCGTACACCTGTATATGAATTTAAATGTAAACATTATAATATATTATTATTAAATATATATGTAGGTTAATGGGTTGCCACAAGATGAACAAATTTTATTGACGCCAACATTAGCCGCTTCCACTTCGCAAGAATCGGGCGTCGAGATGAAAACCGTCTATACGTCTGCGACACTTTCCGAGCTCCACCGATTGCTGGCGCAGCAGCGAAGAAAAAAATTTTAACCTGCAAGAGCGGCAATTAAGAATTCACAAATAGATTTGCGCAGAGACATAGCGAAACGATCGACGCAAGCTTGGCGAGAAAGAGTATACTTCTGTACTTAATGCAGCTAGAATGTTATTTATCGTGGACAAAAAGCGTTGGGTCAAAAGTCTTGTGAATGCAGAATTACATTATTTATTAATTATACTGTACATACATTGTGCTGTCATTTATTAAAATAAAAAATAATTCTATTAATATGACATTAAGATCCCAATTAACATTTACATATAATTTTCTTAATCGACATGTTTAAACACGTCTAAACTATCAATGTTTTGTGATAATGCTTCATCACTTTTGTCGTTTGTCTCGATGTCGACTATGTGCGCAGCAAGCAGTAAAGTAGTACGTGCTAATTTCTTGATCTTGTTGTTGTCTGGCACGGTATCGTTCTTGGACAATGCCGTCAGTGGTCCCATTATGTTTATATTTTTGATGAGTTTTGCAGCGAGGTCTATTGTACTTCTCATCATATTTAACACAATTTTAGTACCCTTATGCTGCAAGTCATCGTCTGTATTAATGAGTAAGTTGTGTAGGAATTTTAGCAAAGGATCCGCATAGATTATTTCCTCGCAAGCCTCTTTGCTGACCGCCGTCAGCATGGCTACTGTTCCAGCCAATGCCTTAATAGTATTTACATTTGTATTTTTGTTTTCGAACAATAATGTAAGATACCCAACTTGATAAGATCTCTGCTCGCAATATTGGACAGCAACTTTACGGCACAATACCAAATTGTTTATGAGTTGTGCGGCCTTTCGTGTCAACATGTTGTTATCGTCATGCATATAGTCCTCGAATTTTTCAAATCCTGCCTCCTTGAATATATATTCTCGCACGCTGTTGTTGACGCTAGCTAGATTGCACAAAGCTGTTAGAGCTTCGCATCTCTCATTTACGGAACACTCCGAATTCAGGAGATTTATGATTGTCCAAACAATCTGCATGATTATCTGATCAGGAAATGCTGCAGGAGGTATCGTGTGTGCTAGATGGACTAGGGCTTGCGAAGCATGCTTTTTGCCCTTGTCTGTGCTACTCAGCGCTAACGACAATAATGCCTCCGCGCCGCCTTGTTGAACAACTATTTCTCTCAACTCCTGTTGACTGCATATCGCATGGAAAACGCGGGCTACCAATTCCTTGCAGTTCTGATTGTCCGTTTTAGCGAGTCTCGCCAGAGCGCTAGTCACACCGACCTCCACTAACGCGCGCCTTATTTTCATGAAGTCGTCCTCTTTGGGCTGATCTCTCCCGGAAAAATAATATTTGATAAACATTACCGATTCTATCATCTCGGGTATAAGTTCATTATCGTCATAAGCGCAACACAAGTTCACCAACATAATAGTCACGTCGTAGAGTACCGATTGATCATTAGTCTGCTCGGTTAGCTCAATAATTGCTTTTACTGCGGCTTGTTGTTGGTCTTTGATCAACTGCTCTTTGACCTCGACGTCGATAGTGAGATACCTCAGGCCCTTAATGGCCCATTTTCTCATCTCTTTATTTTTTTTGGGATTAATCAAGAATCGTGCGCAAACCTTGGTCAATTTCTTCATTGTTCCATCCGCGAACTGCGCAAACGGTTCGATAGTCGTGTAACTGCTTAAAATGCTTTTTTCAAACTTGCTTATCATGCACAGACCCACTAACGCTCGAACTCGTATTGAATCATACGTAGAGAATATATACAGGTTCTCCAATATACGTACACATCGACATATAAACACGTTGGCCTGTTTAAATTTGGTCATTGCAACAGTGATACATTCACAAACCACTTTCTTTTGAACCACGTCGTCATCCGTTTCCAACATAGCAATGATCATCTCAAGCACCCCTCTTTTAATTATAATTGCGTATGCAACGTCTAACGGACCGAACATTAAGGTTGTTATCGCAACCACTCCACGCACCTGTAAAACAACGGATTAACAATTTACAAATTTTTACGTAAAACAATATTTGATTAAAAAGAAATTAAGGCAGCTACAGTGTTATTTAATTTTCTTGGATGGCAAAGTCATATTCTTCAATAAATTTCGATTAAACTTTTATAATAGTATTTTTTTTAATTAAAACTTACAGAATGTACGATATCAACAAATAAAAAAAAAAATTTTCTTTGGCATTTATGCTTTTAAAATAGTTTAAATTTCTCAAGTATGCTACGGTTAAAGAAATAGTCGACCCTTTATTTTGAAACAATTAGAAAAGATCAGAAGTTACGAAATTCATACTTTGGATTTTGAGTCAGATGTAAGCAATTTATCCTTAATAAATTTCTCAATGGCGTCGATAAATTCTTCCTTAGCAGCATCATAGTACACGTTTTTATATATTTTTGTTAAACACATGCTGATTTTAATTTGCGTGGAAAACGTGATGTTCATCGAGGATTCTTCGTATTTGTATTCTTCCATTTCACTGGCTATCTCCATTAATTTTTGCAAACCACGAAACTTGATCAATCGTTCGGCCCAGCCTAACTCGGTATGATGAATGTTACATATAATAAGTTCTATTATTGCGTCTCTAGTAAGGCCTGCTATCGTTCTATTCGCTATATTATTCAATAAGCATGACAAAATCGTATCAAGTTCATTCTTGTGTGTTTCGCACGAAGTCTTGTCGGGTTTTGAATCGGTTTCATCGTTCATGCCGCTGTAAGTATTCAATATATTCTGAAATCAAATTATACAATAAATTAATTACTAAAATACGTGTGTATGCTAGCTACATTCTAGTCAATAATATTTACCTGTAAACAAATTTGGGACGCCTTGACTCTATCTGTACATGTGCTGTTCATCATTTCCAGACAGCGAAGCAAACCAATATATTTCAGAACGAGCTCGGTTCGATTAATATTGTTTTTGCATAACTCGCCTAAAATACGAATCGCGTACGTCGCTTTCTTGTTCTCTTCAACTTTTATAAGTTGTGCGAGTTTTGATACACCTTCGTTCTTGAAGATCTCCTCGGCACCTGCTTCGTCACATGCGTTCACAAACAGATTATGCATAGCATATTTACATTCCTCCTCATCCGCGCTCTCGTTAAATACAGAATCCATCATTTGTGATATCTAATAAAATGCAGAAATAAACGTATTTTTAAATATAATGTGTAATAAAAATGTAAATATCTGTGAAAAATAATATTTGTATCATGTAATTTCTATCTATATAGTGTGACTATTATCCCGAGAGAAATTAATAATTATATAATTAAAAAAATAAACATAATTTAATTTTTCAAATTAAGTTTAGTAACAAAAATTCTTACTAATATATCCCTAGTATAAGAGAAATGTGTGCCATGATAATTTTTACATTATCTTTTACATGACCAAATATTATGTCTTGCAAGTTGATGAACGTTTGTAATAGTTATGTATATTTACCGTAGCTCTAAGATTTGGGTCCTTATGACGATCTTGTAAGCGTTCCTTTACGACTTGAATATCTTTGTTATTTGGGTCAGATGAAATAATAATCTCCGCGTCCCGGTGTGCCTCCTCAAATCTCTCTAACGCTTCTAGTGCTTGACATCTGCGATACAATGCTTTATTACAACATATCTTTAACGCGCTGTCGCAGTCTTCAATAGCATTCTCGTAATCGTTCAGCTTTAAATAAGTGGCAGCTCGATTTTTGTAGTACACTGTTTTCTCAGCGTTGTTCTCTACTAGGTTCAATGCGTTTGTGTAGTCACTCAATGCTTCTGACCAATTGCCTTTGTTAAACTCTTCGTTACCCTTCTCCTTCCATTTTTGTGCAGTCATATTTGACTCTGTCATGGTGGAATATCTCTACAACATAAAATATATGATGCATTATGTTTTAACGTGGGAAGACTCTCCGTGATATTTTATACGTTTTATCTTAAATGCGAAAGGCATAGAGTATATATGAAATTAATTCTAAATAATTATATGCAAGTATGAGACATTAAGGGATCGAAAAATAACAATGCAATTGCTAGTGTAAGATTTGCAAATGAATTGTAAACAACAGTTGCCAAAATTTTTATATTATAGAGTGCTAACTTTCACTAGCATTGGAAGACAGTTTTATTGTCGAACAATCATTTTTCACATAAACAGGATTATTGGAATTTATAATTATGACTGAATTATGACTTAATTCAATTATTGATTGTCGATCGCGAAAAGGAAAGTTCGAGTTTGGATCGGCAACGATTTATGACATTACATTCAAATATTTTATTTCGTCTTATTGCAAAAAATGCAATTATGTTCTGCAAAAATCTGGCGCAATTTACACTTGTCTGGGAAAACCGTGCAAATTATCTGAGACGCGCAAGGAATTTATTTGCGTGATATTGAATCTCAACGTTTTTCTTTATATGAAGGCATCTAACTCTGGTCGTCAATTAACCGAGTATTTGTTTATCAGTTTTTTTTATACATCTAATTCGTTGATCTTTTCAAATCAGTTCGGATGTGTTTCGTGTAAATAGACCAGCACAATTGCCGGTAATGTAAGAATATATCATAAGAAAATAAAGACTCGAGCAGCAGTGTTTTTATATTTGTGAGGGGTCACATTTCAATGAGATAAATATTACAGTTCACAAAATTTAATTTTTTAGTTACATAAAAAGGGAAACTTTATTATCGCATCGTTAAAATACGTTCTATCTGAAATCAATTTTAAAATTACGACTTATTATAAAATTAGAGTGCCATGGCATTTGTCGCTTTTTTCTTCATGCAACAAACGTGAGATGCATAAAAAAATATGCGTTTAAGTTAATGCAACTTACTCAACCTTATGCCGCGTGCCTCGTGCCTCGTATGTAGTTTAACAATCCTATATAGTGGAACTACTGGCTCGTTTGGCCTCACCGTTTCACTTAAACACGTTATACAATAGCTTTTGCATTACTTGTTTTGACGATATGTGAAAGTATTTTTAGACAAAATGTAATAATCTTACGTTTTTTTACGAATACTTCTATTATGTCGAATTGGATCACGTCATACGCGGCAAGCTTTTATTCTGATCGTCGCAGCGAAACAGAACAGAATGTAAAACCTTTACCTGTCGAATAGTTTTCTCTTTGTAATGTTCTCTCGTATCGCACCTTCAAACTTCTTCTTCTCGCCCCACGATTGTTTACGATCCTAGCACTTTTCAAGGACTAACTTAAACCGGCGAATGTTATCCAAAAAGAGTGCTGAGCGCTGTCACCCTGCGATAGAATTTCATCCTGATTGGCTTTTCCTAGCTACGTGACCGACTAATGAAACGCGCGTCACGTGATTTTCGAAAGCGCGCGCGTTCTCGGTCACGTGAAAGGTCATAGATTGATTTTTTGCAGAATGCGGAACGAGATGATATTGCGGCGATAAGCTAACGATTTTTAATCGATCGTATTTTTTGTAATAATTGGACAGCGGCAATGGGCAGACAAGCGAAAGGCCGTCATTTTGTGATATCTAAGCGCATCAAGCTATCATGCCTAATCTCGCGTACTTTGTAACAATATAATAGTAAACAAAATTTTTCTTTTTTAAATTGTTTAAATTGTTTCTATTTTCTAAAACTTTTGGACTATAGATAATAGTCCAAATAATAAATAATAGTCGGTTTCGAGATATATTCACATTGCAATATATATTATTATTAAAATTACGTTATTTTATTATCAGAAATACATTATTTTTATTATAAGTAATTTATTATTATTATTTTTATTATAATTAATTTATTATAAGTAATTATGTCATGTATTATTAATGGAAATAATTTCAAACTCCACCGCATACAATTTTGGAGTCGGTAGATTTTGTATTTCCTGAGCACGAATCTGAGCGGATTCAAGCCACATTTTTGCGACGTCGTAAACTGAGATTTCCGATTTAAACAATTTACAATTTTAGTCAAACGTTACAGTAGAATTCTAAAATATATTTTCTAAAAATCAGTTTGTAAATTTTCTCAACTATCATTAGAACCTGCTTTTCTTGTACTACATGTATAATAAATTATAAAATTAATATTACACATTATAAATTACTCCAAGTTGTTTCGTATGCATGTATAAAGGCCATTGCACGTAACAAATTTTAGTCGTAACCGTAAGAACCATAAGAAAATTTACCAATTATAATAGATTATTTTCCGACCATGAGGGGAATAATTGGTCGAAACGTTGTGTATTTAAATATTATATTAATAAATGGCCAGTTGGGTCGAATTGAACCATTTCTTTTGTTTGATTATTATTTGTGTTTAAAAAGCTTCTGCTTGCGTGCACTTTAACGTGACAAACATACGGCGCTTACGGGTAAATCGCTCTTTACTAGATTGGAAATTATTTGAACTGTGCTGAGAAGGCTGGCTGTATGTTTCTATCTGCGAGAATATGATGAGCAATGGAGTCTTCAAAGATGTTCGGCATTTGAATCCGTTCTCGAAAACGTAAAAAGAGTGAATAGCTTGTACATCACCTACATAAGAATATAAATGTATATATTATAATATAATATATTATTATTAAATATATATATATATATATATATATATATATATATATATATATATATATATACTTAAGTTTATTTGCCGTTTTGCAAGAGTTAGGCGCTGAAATGAAAACATCTATACGGTCTATACATCTGCGGCACTCTCTGAGCTTCACCGATTGTTGACAGCAGCGAAGAAATAAATTTTAACCTGCAAGAGCGGCAATCAAGAATTTAGAAAAAGATTTTTGCAGAGCGACGACCTAAGCCTGTCGAGAAAGAGTGTACTTCTGTACTTGAAGAAGCTAGAATATTATTGGGTAAAAACCGCAGGGGCAAGAGTCTTGTAAATGCAAAGCTTCGTTATTTGTTAATTATATTGTACATTGTTGTACATGCTGTCATTTATTAAATAAAAAAAAATAATAATTCTATTAATATAACATTAAGATCCCAATTAACATTTATATAATTTTCTTAATCGACATGTTCTAAATTATCAGTGCTTTGTGACAATTCGTCACTTTCGTCGTTCATTCTGATTTTGTCCCATTCTGCAGCAGCTTCTGAAGCCAATTCCTTGATCTTGTTTTGCACGGTATCGTCCTTGCTCAGTGCCCTCAATGCTTCCATTATGTCTGTTCTCATGAGTTTTGTAGCAACGTCTTTTGTATTTCTTATTATATTTAACGAAATTTCGATACCTTTACGTTGTATATCACCATTTGGATTAGAAAGTAAATTGAGATAAAATGGGAATTTTAGCGAGGAATTCAAATAGAGTATTTGCTCGCAAGCCTCTGTGCTGACCGCCGTCAGCATCGCTACTGTTCCAGCCATTGCCTTAACG